TTGGGGGGCCGGCCCGGTGGCGCACTGCTACAGTGCGCCGCTTGGGAGTGTGGCGGCGCTCCCGCCGAGGGTTCGGATCCCACATACAGACCGGTTCCCGCTCACTGGCTGAGCGAGGTGCGGGTGTGACACCAAGGGTTGCGATCCCGTTGCCGGTCCCGGTCCGGTACGGGCGCGACACTGAGGGTTGCAATCCATTGCCGGACACGAAAAAAGACAAAAAGGAAAGAAAAAAAAAGCTTTGTGAAGAACCAGGTTTCCATAATAGATGGTGTCCATTGAAATGAGTGTTTAGATTATTCTCGTTCAGGGCAACTAACTATTCCAACTGAGTCTATTATTATTTTATAACCAAATTATATTTTTTATACTGGGGCTTGCACCATTGAAAAAGAAACAACAGTGTGAGCAATTCCTTGTGCCAACTCAAAATACCTCTGCATGCAAACACTCCAGCATTTAGATCGCAACACCCCCTAAGAAAGAAATTGTAGGACGCCTCAGCACATTCCCTCGATACTTCTGTCATCAGTTCAAAGAGTTTTTCCCCCTACCCGCCCTACCATCCTACAGAGCAAATGCTGTGTTACCTTTCTACAGACACACTTAGCTTTCTATCACCCTTTCCTCATATCCACCTCCTGTGCTCCAGGCTCTAAAAGGAAACAATCTTGGCTAAACTAAATCTGCTTGGTGTCAGGCAGGAATAATACTCTCCAACCCACCGCCCTTGCCTTTTTTTTTTTTGACAGTAAGGCCAAGAGAAGCAAATGAACTATGTTTGCATAGAGGTTTGTAATTTGCAAACCACCTACACATCCATGATCTCATCTCAGCCTCATAACAACCCTATGAGGTAAACCTGCCCTTCCCCACAATAAGGTATGCCCTACTCCCATAGGACTGTACAGGGATGGCACGTAGTAACATACACTGTGTGCTGGCTGCTCACCATCTGCTGTCGTCTGAATGTTTGCGTCACACCCCCACCCCCTCAAATTCATATGTTGAAACCCTCACCCCCAAGATGATAATATTAGGAGGTGGGGCCTTTGGGAGGTGATTAGGTCTTAAGGAGAGAGCCCTCATGAATGGGATTAGTGTCCTCATAAAAGAGGCCAAAGAGAGATCATCCCACGTCCTCTCCACCATGTGAGATTTCAGTAAGGAGCTGTCTAGGAACAAGAAAGTGGACCCTCAGCAGACACAGAAATCTATCGGCATCTTGATCTTAGATTTCCCAGTCTCCAGAACCATGAGAAATAAAATTTCTGTTGTTTATAAGCTACCCAGTTTATGCAGTATTTTGTTATAGTAGCTCTAATGACTAAGAACAGAGCAAATGTTATTTTACCCATTTTATAAGTGAGAAACTGAGGATCAGAAGTTAGCTGATTACAGGGAGCTAGGCCTCTAGGAATCTAGGTCAAGCTGAGAAGGTGGAAAGCCTAGTGCAGGATTCTTTCCACCAACCTATTAATACAGACCCTAAATGTTTGTTTTGTTGTTTTTTGAGGGCAGCTGACCAATGTGTGGATATATATGCAGTCACGCTTGACCTTGGTGTTATAACATAGTGCTCTAACCAGCTGAGCTAACTGGCCAGTCCACTAAATGTTTAAAACTTTACAACTATACATTTCCAGAGAGGTTGAGCCATGCTGATAGGAAGGGAGCCTGACATCCAGTACTGCTCCCAGTTCTCTGCTGACCACACACTCAGAGCTTTACTTCTCTGGACCTGTGTCCCCTTCTCCATAATGAAGGCAGACTCACTTATTTATTTTTTGCCAAACAAATGTCAAGCTTTCAGATGAAAGGCTCTATTACAAGTACAAAGTATCACTTAATTACATTGCTGCTCCATTTCCAGTTATCTGCTTCCCAGCTCCTAACTCCCACTGGACAGATTCTGAAACCGCATAGGAGATTAAGTCAAGAGGGAGAACAGGAGAGACATTCTCTCCTTGAACTTTCTTAAATGGAAGAGAGGAAAAAAAGGAAAAGAAAGGCCCATTTTCTAAAGAGGGGACTGGGGCAATGATCTTTCTGTTAAGTGGTCCTGCATAAGAATCTATAGATTATTTAACGCTGGGGGTGGCTGTGCAGTGAAATAAAGGAATCATTGTGCAATGCCAGCCACAGTTCCCTCACGCTTTCCCCACAGCCAGGCATTTCACCCAACTCTAAATCATCAAGCTCTAATGCACCCCATCTGTGCACCGGCTGTAGCCAATGAAACCAAAACTGTGCTGACTTTGGCCTGGACTTGTGAATGAGACTTTCTGCCCCAAAAGGCGCAAGGAAAAGGACATGAGGCCAGCGAAGTCTTGTTTGCTCATTACCTTCTTCTCCCAAGGCTCAAGCTCCATCCATCCATTTGTTTGATCACATATTGAGCTC